AGAAGAAGAAGAAGAAGAAGAAGAAGAAGAAGAAGAAGAAGAAGAAGAAGAAAAGGAGCAAGAGGGAGAGGGAGGGAGGGGGAGAGAAAGAGGGAGGGAGAGAGGGAGAGAGACAGAAAGAAAAGAGACTAGAAATGACATGAACTCTGCAGGAGCTGGAACTATATAGAAAATACATATAAGTAAAAACCCCTTGGATTTCCCTCCACTCCAATACCTCCCTGCTAGACACGTGTCATTGCCCTTTAAGAAAAATCAGCCCAAAGTCTCATTTCCACAGTTAGGGAGTGAAATTGGAGAGGCTGCATCTTCCCTGCCACACTCTGAACTGTTTTTGATCAATTAGTAGAGTGCCAGATGGACATCCAAATGTTGGCTTTAGAATTCTCAGGGCTGCACAAGATGACACTGCATGGACTGGAGACCCCTCTGGCCACACGGCCAGCCCGACAAGTTGGGCCTTTGGGGGAAGGAGGCCTCACTGCTGAGAAGCACACTTTGTGGCGGAGGTGACTTCTAGGCAAATACAGACAGGTTCTGACAGAGAAGAAAATCATTAAAGGTCAACCCCAGCCTTGGGGAGATTGGAACAGGAAACACTCAGTGCTGTCAGACTCCGGAAGCTTCTCCTCAAGAGAAACTGAGAGCAGGGTTGAGGAGGGGGCAGCATCCTTTCTCTGACAAGTTCACAAGTCCCTGCTTTTGGAACAAATGTGAAAAAGGAGAGATGAGGTAACGTGCCCCTCACAAAACCCCCAAACACAGACCAATGGCCCTGAAGGCAGCTGGGATGTGTGTCTGAGCAACACCTGCTTCTAGGGTTTTCAGCAGCTGATTCTTTGGCCTGTATTTTGATGCACCTCTGTTGTCACAGGTGCTGGTGAATTGGGTCTGACTCATGGTGACTCCACGTAAAACAGCACAACCCTGCCGAGCGCTGTGGCGTCCTCACAGCCTTTTTTTTGTTTGAGCCCCTAGTGGCAGCCGTAGCTTGTCTTCTCTTTTCCCTGGTGGCTCTGCTGCTGTTGGGCTCCTCATATGAGCTCTGACCCACAGTATCCCTGGGCATCACAGGATGAAACCCTGTCCAGTCCTGCACGGTCTCCATTGTGCTGAAGCCCATTGGTGAAGTCAGTGGGCCCATCCACCCATTTTCAGAGGGTCTTCCTGTCCTTTGCGGACACCCTACTTTTTCAAGTTTGTTGTCCTTTGTCCAGGGACAATCTCATGCCCAACAACATGCTCAAAATATGTGAGAAACATTTCACCAACCAGTCCCTAAGGAATACTCAGGTTGCACATCTGTCTTATAAGACAGATGTATCTGTTCTTTGACAGTCCATTCAGCATTCTTCACCAACACATCATTCAAAAGGAAACAACTCTCCGTCAGTTTTCCATCATTCAAAAGGAAACAACTCTCCGTCAGTTTTCCATCATTCAAAAGGAAACAACTCTCCGTCAGCTTTCCTTAGTATCACTCGGCCGGAAGCAGCGAGGTGGAGTCAAACCACCAATGTTGACTTGGTTAGCAGTCAAGCATGCTAACCTTTTCTGTTCCTCCAGACTTGTTTGCCTCCAACACAGAGCAACTAAAAAAGGATATGAAAGGTCTCACTTTGCTTTGATTGTTGTTGCTGTTCTGGATTTTACAGAGTCGTCATGAATTCACTTGGGGCGGCAAACGCTCGGTTTGGCATTGACCTTTTCAGAGAGCTGAAGAAAACGAAGGATGGCAATGTCTTCTTCTCACCTGTGGGCATCTCCACCACCATTGGCATGATCATGCTGGGCACCAGAGGGCCCACAGCTCTCCAGCTGCAGAAGGTAGGACATCGGGACCTCGACCTTCACAGCCTTCTTCCTCAGGGTCACCCTTCCAATATTAGCTTAACTTTGGGGCCAGGAGCCTGAGTAAGACCATGGAGAGAGGGAGCAATGTCAGGTCTCACATGGAGGTCTCTTCCCTGTCTAGATGCCATCGCATCATCTGCTTCCTGACATGTGACATTCGGGTGGGGACTGGGTGAGTGGCCTCGTCCAAGCCACTAATCTCATAATTAGAGCTAAAGTGTCAGGAACAAAATCTACTGGGAGAGGTGACTTAATCTCCACCACAGTATAAATTAGAGGCCTTGGTGGAGCGAATGGTTAAACTCTGGATTAAGAGTTGGAGGTTGGCAGTTCAAACACGCCCAGAGGTCCTTAAGGAAAGGCCTGGTTACCAGTTTCTGAAAGGTCACAGCCTTGTAAACCCCAGTGGAACAGTTCTGCTCATGATCTCTTGGCATTGACCTTTTCATGTCTGCACATGAGGGGCCACTGTGAGTCCAACAGGAACTAACATCACCATGGTACAAAGGCTACACTGGTGGCAGGCGAATGGAGGAATAATCATGTAATTTCTCTGAAGAGATCAATGGATAACCCAGGCCGTTGCACGTGCGTGCACGTGTGTGTGTGTGTGTTTTCTCCAAGGGAAAATGGTGAGCCATATACCAGTGAAGTTTCTTGGACAAACACCTCCTTTCCCGTGGATTCTTTGTGTGCTTTTCTCCACGCCACCTGCTACCATGCTATTTTCTTTCTCTTTCAGGTGTTTTATCCTGAGAAAGATACAGAAAACTCAAAAGCAAAAGCTGATGAAAAGGTGGGGAGCCAGGTTGCAAAGCACTTGGTGTGGTTGGCTTGTTAGGTGTGGTCTTCCTGGGGAAAGGCTTGGAGAGCTTGTGGAAAAGAGAATGGATTCTTCACACTTCCTGCCCAACTGGAGTGATCTTTGCGACTGAATCACATTGCTAAAATTACGTGGTAACGATGAACCCTTAATGTTAGGAGGGTTAAGGGAATCTATTGACAGTGGAAAACCTTAATATTAAGAAAGTTAAGACTGTTTCAGTGGAAACAGCCAATGATCTCAGGTGCTCAATGGGAGACGGAAGGCTCTGGTCCACCCAGAGTTGTCTCAGAAGAAAAGTCTAGTGATTGACTTCTGATCTTTCACCACTGAAACCCTGTGGTGCACAGCTCTGCTCAGACACACTTGGGTCCCCGTGAGTTGGAGCTGCCTAGACAGCTGGGTTTTTATGCATTATTATGACAGAGTTCCTTGGTGGTGGAAAGGTTACCATTCTTGACCATTGACTGAAGGGTTGGCGGTTTGAGTCTTCCTGGAGATGGCTTGGAAGAAAAGCCTGCAAATCTACTTCCAAAAAATGACCGCCATGCTTTGGAAATGGCAACTTGCAGGGAACGTAACTACTGTGAGGTAGACTGGTGACATCCAGGGTGAAGGTAGCCATGACGGAGATGGATGGGTTTGGAGTTCAGCAGATTTCTGTTTCAAACCGTCTCAGGCACTTTTGTAGCTATGTGACACTGAATGTGCTTTACATTTTCTTTTAGTGTCTGTAAAGTACCCAGCAGTGTCTGGAACATGCTGAAACTCACCCAGTGGTGGCCGTTTTCATTGCTATTAGCTGCTGTTGAATTGGGTCCGGTGATGGTGTCATGGGTTCTAATATTACTAGGTTCTATTTTCATTAAGGCAAAACAAAATGAAACAAAAATAAAATCAGGGATATTATATTTTAAAAAAATGTTAGTGCAGAGCAAACGCCTTCCTAGGAGATCCACCTTCGAGCCCAGGATTCTCCTCCCTCCAGTGCCCTTCTCCCTACAATGGCCATCTGAGGCCAGGGCTGGTGAGAACTCTCTGGAGAGCACGGTTGTGCCAACAGGAGCCAGTGCCCTGCTGCAGCCTTCACCTGTGACTATGCGGTCCATGTCACAATCCTGAGGTGGCAGCGGGTGGGCGGCTCAGCTGACTGGATGGAACCAGCTGTCCCTTCAGGGTTTGCACAACAGAGCTGGGTCAGACAGCCACTCCACTCCTCACTCAGTGGAGGACACAGGGGTTCCAGCATACTTTCCATCCTACGCACATGGAGACCATATACAACCGTCCATGCAGTAGCAGAAGGCACAGCACTTGGACAGGTGCCCTGCTCCTGGGAGGAAGGCTTGGCACCTGGAGGGAGGGCTGGGTGTCAGCTTAGGGCAGGGCACGCCTATGGGGCTGCTTCGTTCACTCCTCAGAACTTTCCTGGGTGTGACAGGGGTACGAGGAGAACAGAGTGGCTGACTGTACAATGTTAGGACTGGGACCTATTTTAGGAGCCATCTGCTCTCATTTCCTCATTGAATAGGCAAGGAAACAGAGGAATAAAGTGATTTTCCCAAAGGCAAGTTGGAAATGTATATCATATTCACTCACAATATTCTAAAGCACACTTTCAAAAATAGGTGATAAAATGGAAGTACACAGTATAAAGAAGAAAGCACTGGGCACCCACTAGCCCTCTCCTCCCTGCGGAAGACAGAGGTGGTTAATAATCTGATGTCCTCTGCTTGTCACGGTCACGCCTCCATCCTCTCCTCTGAGGACATTCTATTATTATAATAATGTTCATTATTCCCATACACTTATCATTTTTGTTACATGCAGTAACTTTTAAATTATTAGTTTCTATTCCTAAAATGGACCTATTTTAGAAGGATACTTATAGCTGTAGTTGATTCATTTTCACAGGTGTGTATACATTTATCTTGCTGGTTGGTGTGTCCTAAGCCCCACCCCCTTCTTTTCTTCTGCTTCTCTTTCCCTCCCTCCACCCCTTTATTCTTTCTCTTAAAATAGAGCTGAAATGAATCTTTTTATGCAAGTCTTCCAGTTTGAGTCTGTCTAGCTGTGTCCTATCCAACATGAAGGCTATGTAAGTGGATACTGAGTGGACCCAAGTATAAACTCAATTTTATCTGCCTCTTAGTAGGATTAAAAATGTGATTACTAGGAAATGTCAGATTATCTAGGTGGTTCGCATTCTATTTCTAATGGACACAATGTTGCTCTGTTGTTATTGTTGGGTGCTGTTGGGTCAGTTTTAACTCAGTAACACTGTGTGACAGAAGGAAAATCTGCTTGACCCTCTGTCTTCCGCATAATCTCTGTTGTGCTCAAGTGCGTGATTTTAACTACTGTGTCAGTCTTTCCTGTTGAGGGTCTTCCTCTTTTCTGATGACTCTATAACTTCACTAAGATTATAAATTTTTTATTGGTTTGCTTACAAAGTTTGTATACATTGTGTTTCACACTATACTTCATTCGCATTGTGTTTCATACAATCATTCCCATGCATTATGGTTTATTAATCACCATTGGACTTCGCCCATCATTACCTAGTCTTTTTAGTTCCCCGCCAGATCCTATTTCCTTTACTCTCTTCTTTCACCCACCAAATTGTGAAACCTTGTGATTTCACCCCTACCAACCCTTATCCCTGTGCTCCTACCCTTTCCCCCCTTGGGTTCTCATTCATGTTTTACTAATTATCTTTCTATTTTTACAATAATGATCTCAAGCAGGATTTGTCATTTTGAGGCTGAATTAGTTCACTGAGCAAAATGCTCTCAGTCTCTTCCAAGATATGTAGGGTTCCCCCCACCCCCGAAATCATTGTTCCTGAGTGTTGCATAGTATTCCATTGTGTGAATGTACCACAATTTCTCAATCCATTCAGTTGTGACTGGACATTTGGGCTATTTCCATTTTCTTGTGATAGTGAATAATGCTGCTATAAGTCTCCACTTGTGTCTCAGTTCTAATTTCATTGGGGTAGATTCCTAGTAGTGGAATATATGTTGAATAGTAGGGGATCGTATGGATTTTCTATGTTCAACTTTTTAAGGAAGTGACAAAGTGCCTTCCAGAGTGGTTGCACTATTTTATAATCCCACTGAAAGTGTATGAGAGTTCTCACATGTCCACATCCTCTCCAACATTTATTGCTTGCTGTACTGTTAAACTTTGTCACTGTTACTGGGGTGAGATGGTATCTCACTGTGGTTTTGATTTGCATCTCTCTCATTGTCAGTGATTTTGAGCATTTCTTTACGTGTCTAACTTTATTAAGGTTTGAAGTTTTTCTCCAAGGTCTGACCCTTCAGGATAACATATACAAAATAAGTGAGATGAAATATCAATATTCTTGCTTCTAAGGAGAATTTTGACTGAATTTCTTCCAAGACAGATTAGTTATTATTTTTCTTAGCAGTCTAGGGCATATTCAATATTCATTGCCAGAATCACAATTCAAAACCATAGATTTTTTTCTCTCTTCAGTGTTGTCTCATATACACACACATTTTTTGTGATTGCTAAGGTAGAGTATATATCTGGGAAGTAGACTGGTATGCATCTTCAAAAATTTTAGATATTATCAAACTGTTTTTGTAACACTGCTCTAGTGGTAAGGAACTGCTTTGCCAACCTAAATGCACATGGTTCGAATCTACCAGCTGCTACATGTGAAAAAGGATAAGCAGTCTCCTTTTGGGGATTTAATGTCTCTGAAAACTCTCTAGAATGTGAGCTAGGAGTCATTCTCACTCAACGACACACACAACCTATTTACCTTAGAGCACAAATAGACCTGTTCGTTACATAGAGAGAGGGACATACAGTACTGCTGGTATCTATCTATTTTTGAATCTGAGTAACTTTTTTTCTGATTTCTGACTTAAGATTATATAATAAAGAGTAATTTTTATGAGGTATTGAGTCTTTGAAAATGGTTGACACTTTTGGTATTGTCTAGAAAATGGTCAATTTTCATGAATATTCTCTGTATGGTTAAAGTACAATGAGTATTTTCTCACTGATGCCTCTAGGGTTTTTTTTTTTTTTCATACTACTTAGAGTTTAACACTCACTCTGGTTGCACAAGTTTTCTAACTTGTTTCAATAATTTTGTGGCCTTGAGTTTTTAGTTTTGGTAGAGAAATGTGCTAAAAATCCCCTAACTTGCTTTAATGATTTCTTCTTTCTATACATCTGCAGATTTTTACTTTTATTTTTTTACTTATATTTTCAATTCATGTTATTTATATATATCAACTTTTAAAAATGCCATATCTTTTTAGTGAGTTAAATTTTACCAGTGTGAACATTGTCTTATGCTTTAAGCATTTTTTATTGTTTATAAAGATAGCTACACAAATTTTTGATTGATGTTTTTCTAGTATATCTTATTGTTTTATTTTTAACTCTTGTATTTTAATCTTTAAATATTCCTTTTAACATTGTTGTTGTTGTTGTTATGTGTCCTTGAGTCTCTTGCGACTCATAGTGACCTTATGTACAAGAGCCCTAAACCCTGCTCTATCCTGTGTCTACCTCACTGTCTCCGACATGTCTATTCCCACTACCTCAATCATTGAATCGATCCATCTCATCGAGGGTCTTCCTCCCCTGTGCCATCCCTCCACTCTTCCAAATATGATGTCCCTCTCCAAGGACTGGTCCCTCCTTGCAACATGCCCAAATTATGTCAGATGAAACTTCAGAATTCTTGACTCCAGGGAACTTTCTGGATTCATCCTCACCAGAACAAACTTGTTTGTTTTCCTAGCAGTCCATGGTATATTCAACACTCTTCTCCTGCACCATAGCTCAAAGGCATAAATTCTCTTTCTATCATCCCTAGTCACTATTAATTTAAAACTTAATTTTAAATGAAATTTAAAAGTTCTTTCTGAGATTCTATCTTTTAATGGAAAAACTTAGTTCTTTTACAGAAAATTGTGATTCCTGATGTGTGGAGATTAGAACTATCTCCAGCAGATTATTCGAGGCTTTCTGTTTGATCATTCTTTCTTTTTCTAATCTTTTTTTTAATTATGTGTGTGTTGTTTTAATAATTTTCCTCACTTTTATTGATTTGAAATCCGTGCACTATTTACCTAGAACTCTTGAATGACTATACTTTAGTTATTAAACCATTTTAATGATTAGCTCTCTCCTTTTTTTGTTCAGAAGATTAGTGTGCAGTTCAGGTATACACATCTTAGAATATTTGGATTTCAGCAACTTTCCTCCTTCCTAGAATATTTAGCTTCTGTCTTACCATTTTCATATTTTAATGCAACTGGCCCTCCAGTGGGTTTTCAGAGGCAGTTTGCTACACAGAGAGAGATTGCCCATCCTTTTCCCGTGGTGTGGCTGGTGGGTCCGAACCATGTGCCTTTGAGATTGTAGTGCAGCTTCTTATCACTAGGCCACCAGAGTTTAGGAAGCTAGACATGCAATTTCAAGGTTGAATGAAGCTCTTGGAGAAGGTTGTCTCTGTCATTTCTGGAGAAAGGTGAATGTCTCCTTCAGCATCAGGAGGCTGGGTGTTTCTTGGAGATGTTTACATATCTTGTTCTTTCACTATGTCAAGGAGCTTCCCAGCAGCTCAGGGACCTGGGTCAGAACAGATGTCCTCCACTCCTGGTGACTCTTTCTTCTTGGTAATGAGAGTCCCCCCTCCCCTGCCCCCAGTATTTCTACTTGTTTTCCTCTTGTTTTATCTCTAATGACATAAAATCTTTTACGGCTTTCCCTAGGGAAATTCTCCATACTCAGGGGTCAGGACCATGATGAGATTAGGGAGGCTCCTTTCCACCCTTAATCTTTTTACAATAATTCAGTTTATGAGCTCATTAGGGATCATTACATAGTTTATATAACATATTATTACATGCCATGTAATTTTTTAAGACACAATTCAATCCAAGACAGATGCTCAGTTCCAAACTGAGTCTTCTTTTACATCATGTGAGTGAATCCCCAGAGTCTCCTGAAGTGTCACTCAATGGCCAGGGTATGACACACATCTCTGTTCCACGGCAGTTATCTGGGTCAGCCATGGGCTATGCCTCAGCACATCCTCAGTCAGGAAATTTACAGGTCCTACAGTGGACTAGCCAGAAAAATCCATGTAGATTTCCTCAGAGACAGGAGTCAATTTTACTTCCTCTGAGAAATTACCATTCACACAAGCTTGAGATACTTTTCTTTTTTTAGACTTTGTTTTATTTAATTTAAATTTGAGTTTAATTTTAAAATAACAATCTTTAATCAGATTTAAACACCTAAGTTTAAGGAGTTACTCATCTAATCCATTGTCTAGTAGGGCATTTTTCAAGCTGTGGAGTAGACGAAAAGTATCTGAGTAAACAGTACAATTCCCAAGTGCTGAGGGCCTTACGTACAGCTAAGAACAAAGCCTGTGAAACATTTAGAGGGCAATTATGTGAGATCAAAACTGTGACATGACTCAGAGAGGCAAGATCTGTGATGTGGGCAGGCAGAGAGGACTTCTCTGTGGAGGGAAGCTTGCTCATGATTTCCATAATCACGAGGTAGCTATAAAATGCCACCTGCCATTCAAGGGGTCACACAGGCTGTCAAACTGAAGTCTGAAGGCTCAGTCACCATGTCCGTGTGGGGAGGAATCAATCCTTTCTTTGGTTTAGATAACCTATTAGATTTTTTGTTGGATTTTGAAGACTGAGGATGCAGAAGAGATTCATCACCAATTGCACATGTTTTTGACTGATATAAGCAAGCCCACCAACGATTATGAGCTGACAATTGTCAACCGGCTGTTTGGGGAAAAGACTTACCTCTTCCTTCAGGTGAGTTTCCTGCATCCGCCATGCAACACCATGCCACTCCTGCGCCCAAGCCTGTTTGAATTTGGGAGCTCCAAACACTGTCCACCAAGGGTGACCATTATCACATTGGACACATCAGTGTCACAGTGAGTGTTCCCTACGACATGAACATATGCATAATGTGATCAGGGAGAAAAGTGCAATGATGAATGAATGGAAATCCAAAGTATCTGTAAATGTTCATTAATAATAATATTAATAATAATAATAATAATAAAGAGTCCAAGATTCTGTGCTCATGATATTATTCCTCACTCTGGCATCAAGACGCATTCATGTAGAGATGTTGCCAATTGATAAATGAACATTTCAACCTCTTCCTCTTCCTTTTCCATTTCTTTTGAAGAAATATTTAGATTATGTTAAAAAATACTATCATGCTACTCTGGAGCCTGTTGATTTTATGAATGCAGCTGATGAAAGCCGAAAGAAGATTAATTCTTGGGTGGAAAGACAAACCAAAGGTAGAATACTGTGTGTCTTGGTCATTGTGAAAATATTTCATAGTGATTGTTGGGAGTGGATGCCTAGGACTGAGGTGAACAGCCCTTTGGGCCGGAGGATACAAGCTTTCTGAGAGGGGCTTGAGGTGGGCTTTCCTAGAAGGGCCAGGCACAGCAGATGGTCTGGTGGAATGGTCTGAGTAGATGTGGAGAAAGCCAGGAGGAACTGGAGGTGGAAATTGCACTAAGCCAAGCATGTAGACACACTTTGTAGAAGATTCTTTGCAACTGACTGTGGATCATAATATCCCGACACTCCTGAAACTGGGCTCATGTTTGTCATACGTTCACATCTCTTCCTTTACATGACACCTTTTATTTTTCTTTGTTACCCAGAAATCTTGATTACAAAAATATTTTGCAAGTAAAAAGTGAGTTGCAACTATTTACAAAATGAGGCCTATCTCCTTCCTATTGCTGTTGTTATGTGCCGTCGAGTCACTTGCGACTCATAGCGAACCTGTGTACAACACCCCTAAACTCTGCTCTGTCCTATTCCAATTGCACTGTCTCCGACACACCCATCCTGATTACCCCAGTCACTGAATCAATCCACCTCCTAGAGGGTCTTCCCCTCCTGCGCTGTCCCTCCACCCTTCTAAGCATGATGTCCCTCTCCAAGGACCAGTCTCTTCTCACAACATGTCCAAAGTATGTCAGGCAAAGCCTCAGAATCCTTGCCTCCAAGGAGCAGCCGGGTTTAACCCTCTCCAGGATGAATCTGTTTGTTTTCTTAGCAGTCTAGGTACACTCAATACTTTTCTCCAGCACCACAGCTCAAAGGCATCAATTCTCCTTCTATCCTCCCTAGTCATTGTCCAACTCTCTGATGCATAACAAGTGATTGCAAAGACCATGACCTGTATCAGACGCACCTTAGTCTCCAGAGACACACCGTTGCTCTTCAGTACCCTGGAGAAGTCCCTAACAGCAGACTCTCCCATAGCAATACATCTTTTAATTTCCTGGCTGCTGGTGCCAAGAGTATTGACTGTGGAGCCAAGCAAAGCATACTTCTTCCACAGCATTCTTTTAATGCCTCCCATTTCCTGGGGTTTCAGTACAGAAGGTGTGGGGAATCTCCGTGCCACCAGGCTGCACAAAGCTAAAGCTATTCCATCTGCCTTGGCTTTGGTCCATTACTCCCTCTGCAAAATGAAAACTAAAGTCAAGGAAAGACGGTTCCAAGAGTACGTTCTTTTAAAATCTTCTCTCTCTGTGAGTATATGTACGTGCAAAACTGTGCATGTGTGCATGTATATTAATGTATGTGCATGTGTGCACATGTGTGTGCTTGCAGGCATGTGTCTGTTTACATATACACACATGCTCTGTCTCAATCTGAGCCCCTACATGGAAATGCTTCCTACCTGTGGTCACCTGTAGGTCACCTGTTGTTGCACTTGAATCCACCTGAGCCTCATCGTCAGGTGAACATCACTCAGGGATATGACAGCTTTCATCCTCGTTCACAGCCAAGAACTTAACACAGCACTCCACCCCCACCCTCTAGTATGAACCAAGCACAAAGAATTCACCAGAGACGGATGTTAAAGTGGCCACTTCAGTGAGTGAGGTTCATATGAAATCATTTTTTATTTCAATTGTCATGGAGACCTCTGTTACTTCACAGTGTTTTTCTTCTTAAAGTTCACCTCAGGTCAGAGATAAGAAAATGAAAGGACACAAAAGTGAGGCTTATCAAGGAGCTGATGGTAAAAGGCGGAGATGATCTCTATTTAGTGTGAGAGGGACTGAAAACACAAGACAAAAGAATCAGCTCCTTTAAAAATAAAAAAATGTAATCTCTAAATATCTGGTGTCAGCTATCCCGAGTGAGCAATAATTAACAAGAACTCATAATTAACACTTACTGTGTGCTTAGTGAGGAGCCCTGTGTCCTCGTGTGGTCTAGTGCGTTATGTCTTGGAATGTGAACTGAAAGGTCATCTGTTCAAACCCACCAGGCACTCCAGGGAGAACATGGCCGTGCAACATTGATCGACGTTTTAAAGAGAAACCATTTTCATTGTTGTTCTTTTTTAAAATTTATATTAGTTGCATACAAAATTGTTTCATTCATGCACACCGTGTTTCACACATTCCTTCAATCACACCGTGTTTCACACCCTCAGTCATATGCACACTGTGTTTGCTCTGTTGCAGAAAAAATCAAGGACCTGTTCCCAGAGGGCTCACTCAACAATACGGTGAAGCTGGTGCTGGTGAACACCATTTACTTTAAAGGACAGTGGGACAGGGCGTTTCTGAAAGAAGACACCAAGGAGGAGACGTTTTGGCTGACTAAGGTATATGCTGTTGTTAGACGCTGTTGGGAATCATTCAGAGGAAACCCTGTGAAGGACAGATCTGAACCTGGTCCGCTCCTGTGCCGTCCTCACGCTCTCTGACACACCTGAGCCCATTGCTGCACACACGGTGTCAATCCCTCTCATTGAGGGTCTTCCTCTCTCTCACTTCTCAGACTTCGTGAGAGGCTTACACACAGAGTGTAAAGTCCAGACTCACATCTTATCACACGTGTAGTTGTCATACTGTCAGCATCTCACAGCCGTTTCATGCACTGTGAAAGGATCTACTGCCCAGTCCTGCCCCCCACCCACCCTCACTGAGCATTGGGACCCTGAGGTTTCCATTGGCAGACTTTGTGAAGAAGGCCGCTAGGCCTCTCTTCTCGGTAAACCGTAGTCTGAAAGCTCTGCGGAATTCTGCTCGGCATCGGAGCAACACACAGACCTCCACTTGCATCTAGATGGGTAGTAGCTGCACATGAGCTGCATTGACCGGGAACCAACCCCAAATCTCTTGTATGGAAAACAAGAATCCGGCCACTTACGCCACGGCAGCCACAGTAAAACATCAGACACAGATCATACAGGGTGGAACTGCAGTGCTGTCTGACAGAGACAGGAAGGGCTGGGCTTTAGCAGGGGCCATTACTCTGGGGAGCCCACCTAGTGGTCTCAGGCCTCCTGTGACGCTGGAGCTCCCTATCCGTGTGTTGCAGAGCACCAGCAAGCCGGTGCTGATGATGAAGCAGTGTCATTCCTTCCTCTTCGCCCGCTTGGAGGACTGGCAGGCCAAGATCCTGGGGATTCCCTACAAGAACCACGACCTGTGCATGTTCATGCTGCTGCCGGATGAGATTGACGGCCTGGAGAAGGTGAGTGTGACCGTCCCATGCTTGGTTCCCTTCTGGTTATTGGTGTTCCCAAGCTTTCCCATGAGAACCGGTGTCCCCCAGCCCCCCCCTCCCAACCCCACGGGCCTTCAGAAAGCATGCTCACTGTGGCCTTGACCCCTGGAGATCTTCAGAGGAGCATGGGATGTCAGCAGCGCATTGACAAGCACCAATAGCTTAAGAATAGCTTAAGACAAGCTGAAATGGACACTGAAGATCATATCCCACTGTGGCCCAGTTGATTCCAACTCACAGCAAACCCATCACCAGGTTTCCCAGGTTGAACTGTCTGTGAGGGGAGACTGCCCATCTTCCTTTGATGGAGGGGTAGTGGATTTGAACTCTGACCTTTCAGTTAGCTGACAGATGAGTTATACACTAGGCCACCAGGGATCCTTACTGATATGCACTGTGTCTGTAAAACAAGTGGATGGATCACTGTCAGCAGAAATACAAATCATCTTGAAGAGAATATTGTAGTCTGAAGTATGTAGCAGTTTGAAGTATTTAGAAGATGTCACAGAAAACCAGATAGTCACTTTGACTGCAATTGTGTAAAAGTATAAGCCATCAGAGGTCCTAAAGTCCACATAAACTCCTCTACTGTCGGTCAGTTCTGATTTACAGCACCTCCCCCTACCCCAGCAGTAAATCTTGGTGGGAAAAGACTGTCCTTCTCATGGAGCAGCTAGTGGAAGCAAACTACTATTGAGCTGTCCTCTACAGCCTGATAGGTCCCATGCCACACAGCCAGGGCTCCTAAAACAAAGTGTCTATGTACATGTGTACACACATACGCACACACATGCATGTTATATGTATGTGCATTCATATAAGTCTACTCACACACAAGTACATATACATGATGAGAAAAAGAAAGAATGGCTTAGCGCATTAAGTATTGTGCCACTAACCAGAAGGTCAGCAGTCGGAGCCCTGGCCGACCCTGGTGAGAGAAAGGTGTTCGTTCAGCCTCCTCTTGAGAAGATTTACAGCCTCAGAAACCAGACTAAGCATCAACTGTAAGTTGGGGACAGGAGAGATTCTGTATTTTCAAGCACATAGTCCGATACTCTACGGGTTTTGCAAACCTACAAGGCACTCACCTGTTAGTTTCCTGTGCACACTATGCACGTGGGCACATTATTGATAAGGACACATAGCCCTTACCTGAGAAATGATCCCACTGTGACAGGGGCGTGCTGTAGAAGGCAGAGCTGAGACACTAACTCACAAGACGACAGTCCTGGGGCAGAAGCTCAGGGGCAAGAACCTTTCTTTAGCTCTGCCTCAAACAAGAGTCTTCCCTAGAGCTGGTCCCTGGAGTGGTCCCTGGGTGGTCCCTGGGTGGTCCTGAGGTGGTCCCTGGGTGGTCCCTGGGTGGTCCTGAGGTGGTCCCTGGGTGGTCCTGAGGTGGTCCCTGGAGTGGTCCCTGGGTGGTCCTGAGGTGGTCCCTGGAGTGGTCCCTAGGTGGTCCCTGGGTGGTTCCTGGGTGGTCCCTGGGTGGTCCCTGGGTGGT